TCCATCCATCCATCCATCCACCCATCCACCCACCCTCTATCTATTTTCATCATCATCATTTTGTGTGTGTTTGTGTGTCTGATATCTGAAGAAGCTAGAGGACGTCAAATCCCACGAAGCTGGCATTACAGGCAGGTGTTAGCTATCTGACATGGGAGTTGGGACTAAACTCTGCAATAAAGACAGTTCTCTTAACCACTGAGCCACCTCTCCAGCTCCAACTATTAAATTTTGAGATAAGATATGATTGAAGTGGGTCATCTCTCAACAAGCACACCTCAATAAATTTGAAAGGAGAACAGATTCTTATCATTGATGTGCAGACCAGCTAACATCAAGACTGGTTCCTGTCTCAGCCCCTTGTAGTCACTGCCTTCCCACTATCCTGACATACCATCAACCACACCTGGGTTTCAACATCAGTTATGTGCAGCAGATGGAATCAAAGCTTGCTTTTGTGTCAACATTGAGTTGGTTAAATTTCATCTACATTGTTGATCTCGTCTGAGAATTCTTAGTTCATTGTTGCATAAGAATCAGTAGTGTGACCCCCACCTAAAAACACAAACACGTCAACATCCAACATGTATAGAGCTTTATCTTGGCATTGTCCCCAAACAACACTGGGCACTGACCGTTTTCATGGCCTTTCATTTCTATTAGCTGCAGTGCAATCTAGAGAGAGGAAAGGTTACAAGAAGAAGGGGGTGTTGTTTGCAAACTCCTCACCATGCGCCTCAAGGGCTCTCAGCACTGCAGGGTTGTCATGTTCCTGGGACCAGTTCCCTGTAGATGCCCTGATGGTTGCATGGCCAGGCATTTTTCCAAGTGTCCATACTGCAGTCATGACTCACATTCAGGACCACTACTAGGTGACTATCACTTTCCTTCCCACGTAACCCAGTGGGTGGGTCAGGGCCGTTCTCAGTGAATGTTGTCAGGAGGCATTGGGCAGCCTTGGTGACAGAAAGCATGGTTCTTGATTGAGAGTCCAGAGATAAACAGCCAGTCTGAAGACTATGGGCACGTAACTACATGTTTATCTCCATCCATATCTATATCTATCCTTTTTTTTTGATAGGGTCATATGCAGCTAAAGTTGTCTTCAATTTGGATGTGTAGCCAAGGATAACTATTGATTCTCTGGTCTCTGTCCCCCTAGTTTAGTTCCAGGATTATAAACAAGTGTTGCCCTGTCTTTGTACTACAGTGCTGGTGTACTGATTAGGAAATCCAACCAATCAGTGCAGACCCTAAATGTCTGGTGAATTAACCCTTCACCTCCTAGGTCCTCAAAGGCAAGGGTGGCCAGGGGAGGGGTACCTATTTACTAATCATTGTGTGTTTCACAGTGTAACAATGTCTGCACTGACTAACCACAATCCTGGTATGATTATCCTTGGCAGCTTCGAGAAAAATACGGAGACGTGTTCACAGTGCACCTGGGACCGAGGCCCGTGGTCATGCTGTGTGGGACAGAGGCCATAAGGGAGGCTCTGGTGGACCAAGCTGAGGCTTTTTCTGGCCGGGGGACAGTGGCTGTGGTTGAGCCAGTTGTGCAGGGATATGGTGAGACATGGGACCGGATGGAGTGGAGGATGTGGTCCAGGAAGTTGTGTGAGAAGTGGAGCCTGAGCTGTGGGGACGGACTCAGGCTATTTGACCTTCTGTTGTAACCCATCAAGTTTTGCCTATGTTCTTAGGTGTCATCTTTGCCAATGGGGAACGCTGGAAGACCCTTCGACGATTCTCTCTGTCCACCATGAGAGACTTTGGGATGGGGAAGAGGAGTGTGGAGGAGCGGATTCAGGAGGAGGCCCGATATCTGGTGGAGGAGCTGCGGAAATCCCAGGGTGAGCCCCAGAGAATGGACAGAAAGGAAGACGGTGACACAGGGACCTGAGTGCATAGCCTAAGAAAGAGAAAGAGTTTAGAAAAACAGACATACAGACAGACAACAGACAGACACACAATGTTTGGGGAGAATAAGATAAGGGCAGAGGTGGGAAAACAAGGGCAGGGATAGGATTGTCAGACATATTGTGTCTAAAATAACTCAGAAATATGCACTGACCATAGTGGTCAATTCTCTTCAGAAAATCAATCTGTGATTTAATTTTCTGTCATCTAAATATGACTGGTGCACACTAGTCCTCTCCAAGCTCCAAAGGTGAGGCAAGATGGTCATATGTTCAAGGCCAGTCCTGTCTATGTTTTCAGGTCCTGTCTTACAATGTGGCTTTGGCTGGTTGTAGAGCTTCTAGCACCATATGAGTGGGCATGGTCCTGCATGTTTGTAATCCCTGCACATCAGCGGTAAAGTCAGGAGGCTGAGAGTTCCAAGGTCCTCTTCTATTGCACATAGAGTTCAAAGCCACTTTGACTCAACCATTGTAGTTGCTCCCTATCCCTGCCTTCTACCCTCACGGTCTTATCAAAGACAAATGTGGAATCTAGATCCAAGGGAAGGGAGCAGGAGGACCTGCAGACATGGTCTAAGCAGGGAACTGTGTTTTCTTCCTTGTGAATGTGCTGGTGAGCAGAGTGGACACAGAGGCTCATGAGAGTTTGACTTTGGCAGAACTCAAAAGAACCCTGGGCAATTTAAGGTTTGATATATCAAGGGCACATCGGTGACAAGACCATTGTTTGCACCTCCACTTCTTTACACAGGGTATTTTCATCTTTTATTGACCTTTCTCAGGAGATCTGAGATGTCAGTGCTGAGGGGGAGGGAAGAAAGTTGCAGAGGCTGAGAAGAATGAACTGGAAAAAGAAGTGAGAGATGGAAGGACCCAGAGGAAAAGAAGTGAGCCCCAAGGCTGAGAGTGAAGCTCTTGAGCCCCAGGGAAGGATCCACACAGGATCAGAGACCACAGACAAGCCAGCCCAGGGTGAAGGGCAACAGTGGCCCCAATACTGTTAGACTGACAAAAGCTCTCTAACCACCAGGGTCCATGACTGATCCTGGCACACAAAGCAGCAGGGGCTGATGGCTTCTGGAACACCACAGAGCTCAGAAGAGAAAGGAAAGATGGAGGAAATCAGAGAAGGGATGGAGGAAGTCAGAGACGGGATGGAGGAAGTCAGAGAAGGGATGGAGAAAGACAGAGAAGGGATGGAAATAGTCAGAGTAGGGAGGGATGGAGGAAGACTGGAGGATGCGCATGGACTGTGCGGGACTTGGAAATTCACACAGCCATCCCTGAACCCTTCTCTGCACCATTCCCTCCAGGGAGAGTTAGTTATCAGTTCAGAGTCAGGATGCTGTCCTAGGAGGAGGAGCAGTGTGGAGACTGACTACACACACTCCACCTCTCGGTCCCAGCATCCTAACTCCAGTCATGATTAGCTGAGTTCCCTTGGTGAAGGTACCTCCCCTTCTATATATAAGAATAGTACCTCATAATCTCTATACTACTGAGGGGAGTTAAATAAAAGGTTTCGTGCATCTCTGAGTGCAGACTCATATGGGCATCTTATGTGCAAATGTGGTAGCAGCTGTTCCTGTTCATTGAGCGGTGAGGGAGGGGTTCAGCTTTACAGAGATGGGGCCGAAGGCAAATGTTCCCTGGTTCTATATCCCCTGTCTCTTGTCCTGCATCCTCCTCCAGGTGCACTCTTGGACCCCACCTTCCTCTTCCAGTGCATCACAGCTAACATCATCTGCTCCATTGTCTTTGGACAGCGCTTTGATTACAAAGACCGCCAGTTCCTGCGCCTGCTGGACCTGTTCTATCAGACCTTCTCACTCATCAGCTCATTCTCCAGCCAGGTCAGTAGGTGGGAAGAGAGGAGCATCCAAGACAGTGGAAAGAAGACAATGCTAGGTGGGTAAAAAAAGGAGTCTCTTAGGGCTGAAGGAAGACAGAGACAACTTCGAGAGGCAAAGAGGTTGCGAGCAGGTGGGAGATAGTGTGGGGAGCAGGGCAGAGATGTAAATGCAGAAATACAGAGTCATTCACACCTGCACGAAATGGTGATGTGGGTGCTGCAGCTGTAACTCTGAGGGTAGAGGACTTGGTTTTCATGCATGAGGTCCTCATTGCATTTCCTGGGTGTGGTGGCACACCACTCATGCAATTCCAGAACGTGGAGGCAGGAAGATGATAAATTCAGGGTGATCCTTTGCTATACTGAGTTTAAGGCCACTCAGGCAAGAATGGGACCTTGTATGCATAAGCAAATTAAAACACACAATGACAATTCAGCACAGGGATTGGGAGAGAGAGCAGAGGAGAGGAAAATGGAGGCACAGAGTGCAAGGCCAGGGTGAGAGGCAGGTTTAGAGAGAAAGCTCAGAGCATGCATGCGTGTAAAGTGTATACATATGAGAGAGATGTGTATATTTGTGTGTGCATTTTGTGCACATATCCCTTTGACATGGGCACATAGGGGTATGAGGTGGTTTGAGTGATATTGGCCCACAGAGAGTAGTGTATTTGCATGCTTGAAGATCTGTTTGCAAGGATTATGCTTTGTGTCCTCATTGGAGAAGATGTGTTGCTAGGGGTGAACTTTGAATTTCCAAATCCCATGCAAGGCCAGTGGTCTCTCTTGTTTTATCAGTCTGTCTGTATACCACGGTGTTGATATCAGACACATGCTTTTCTTCGTGGATATCATGATGTCATCTCTCCGGCCCATGCCTGTCTGCATGGGTATCATGATGTAGGCTCACAGACACATGCCCTTCTGCATATACATCATTATGCCAGTCCTTAGGCACTTGTCTGTCTACATGGATGTCACGATGAAAGCTCTCAGGTACATGCCAGGCCTGTCTGCTTCCTGCCATGATGATAATAGACTAACTTCTGATACTGTAGGCAAGCCCTCAAAAATGCTTTTTTTTGTAAGAGTTGCCTTGGCTATGGTATCTCTTCTCTGGGTATGGTGCAGCAATAGAACACTAAGAGCACTTCCACTTCCTGTGATCTAAAAGCTCAAGAGAACCTCCAGGGTCCTTCTTTCTTGCAGGTGTTTGAGCTCTTCTCTGGTTTCTTGAAGTACTTTCCTGGTGCCCACAAGCAAATCTTCAAAAAAGCTCAAGAAATCCTTGACTACATCGGCCACAGTGTGGAGAAGCATAGGGCAACCTTGGACCCCAACAATCCAAGAGACTTCATCGATACCTACCTAATACGCATGGAGAAGGTAAGTCCTGCGTGAATGAGAGGGGATGGCTGAGAGTGAAGGCTGAAGGTATGAGCTGAGGAAAAGAGGGCAGAGGATGGGGAGGAGAGACAGGAAATGGAGAGAGTGTGATGCAGAAGTGTCTGGCAAATGATGAAAATGAAAGGAAGAGAAAATGTGATAGGGAGAAGGAAGGGTGGGGAAGAAATAGGGCAAGGGACAAAAAGCAGGAAAGACCACAGAAGAAGAAAGAGCATGGAAGACAAACCATGCTAAACTACCAGAGAGCACAGTAGAGAGAGAAGACAGAACAGACAGAGATCAAGCAATATTATTAAGGACTGAGAAATGCCATGTGATTCATATAATGTGAGACAGAAGAACAGTTCCCAGGATGTGTGTGCATCTTTCTGAAAGGCTCCAGTCACCCCTGACCCTCCTCTCTCCCATCTGGAACCAGGAGAAGTCCAACCAACACACGGAGTTCCATCACCAGAACCTCATGATCTCCGTGCTGTCTCTCTTCTTTGCTGGCACCGAGACCAGCAGCACCACGCTCCGCTATGGCTTCCTACTCATGCTCAAATACCCCCATGTTGCAGGTGAACCACAGATGGCCAGTTGTGGAATCTTCTAGCTCCCTATGGGCTGGGAATTTCGTGTGGATGAGAGAGCCATGGACCTCTTATATCTGGAGCACTGAAGGCTTTGGCCTAATTCTAAACTAGGGCATTGCTGTGGATGGTGCATGAATGAACACTCAGCTGGCCTGTTTTCCATTGTTTCCACCTATCAATTAATGGTTGATCCACTCATCCTTCTGTGTGTCCATCCATCCATCCATCCATCCATCCATCCATCCATTCCTCCATCCATCCATTCAACCATCCATCCATCCTTCCCTCCTTCTTTCCTTCTGTCTTTACATCCTTCTATTCACTCGTCTTTCTCTTCATCCACCTCTTTATCTGTTTACCCATTCTGTTCATTTCCCATCCATCTATTATCCATCCAACCCATTATTCACCCTGCTACACAACTATTTACCCTCTCCTGTATTCCTCTGCCCATTTTCTCTATATCCAGAGACTATTGATCCTTGATTCTTTCATCTCTGTGTCGCCTAAGGGCACATATTTCAATCATTTATCTGGATGAATCAGCCTGTGAGTTTTATTCTTTGATCAGATCTAGTTGAGTGGGCTATCTATCATTGATTCACTGGTCATTCCTTAATCCTACTAACTGACATTTGAATCCACCCTTCATGTGTCCATCCATTCCTCCATGTATCCATTTAATAACTCACTCATTTATCTGTGCTTTATTCATCATGCAACAACCCACCTGTTTATTCCTATATTTTCTCATTTATTCATTTACATATTTGCTTGATTTTTGGTTAGTTGGACTCATTGATTTATTTGTCTATGAACCATTTGTTGACTCATTAATTGGTTAATACAGTGAGTGAGAAGTGGAATATGGACATCCAGTTTTGCTTTGCTCATTTTACTCACCCAGCAATCTTTCCTTTAGTAACCAACTCATCCATTGCTTGGCTGACTTACAACTCACATTCTAAGAATCTGAAATCTATGTGATGTTGTGATTTTGTCTGCTGCAGTTCATGTGTGGAGGTGGGAGGACAACTTTGTGCAGTTGGGTCTCTCCTGTACATTCACACGGGTTCTGATGTCAAAGCCAGGCTGTCAGAATGGAAATCAATGCATTTGCTGACTGAGCCATTTTATTGGCTAAAATATTCACCAAAGTATTCATATTTAGTACTTAATTATACATAGATTAATTTATTTTTTTATTCCTGAGGATATAGCCTCAGGTTATTAGTCTGGATTTTTAGAATTGTTTTTAGTAGTGTGCATTGTTGTTTTGTCTGCATATATGTCTGTGTGAGGGGGTCGGATTCCCTGGACCTGGAGTCACAGTGTGAGTTGCCTTGTGCGTGCTAGGGATTGAACCCCGGTCCTCTGAATGACCGACTTGTGCTCTTAACCATTGAGATATCTCTCCAGCTCCCTGAATTTTAAAATATAAATTCCATTCAAAGATGTGTGTGTGTGTGTGTTATGCTGGACCACAGATTATATCATTATATTTCAAATATGGAGAATTCTTACCATCTCTTTCCAGCCTTCCTTCAGACTGATAGGTAAAAAAAAGCCCTATGCTGTGTGTTTTCCTTTTCTTTCTGTTATGAGGAAGGCTGGAGCTTTGGAGAGAGTCTCTAACATTGGCATGGCTGGAGAGAAGCTCAGGTGTGCGTGCCCAGAGTGCTCTGTGTCTTTCTCAGCAGAGTCTCCTGGCTCTGCACTGTTCCTAAGCTATTGGCTCACAGAAAACAGGGTCGCTGTGCATTGCTTCTGTATAGGGACGGACATTCTATGTTGTCTCCCTTTCTGTGCAGAGAAAGTCCAAAAGGAGATCGATCAGGTGATCGGCTCACACCGCCCACCAACCCTTGATGACCGCAACAAAATGCCTTACACTGATGCGGTCATCCACGAGATTCAGAGATTTGCAGATCTTGTTCCAATTGGAGTGCCGCACAAAGTCACCAAAGACACTTTGTTCCGAGGGTACCTACTCCCCAAGGTGAGACCAGCTGTGATTCCACATCTCTATGCCTTGGTCATCCTCCACTCTTTCCGTGACCACCCTCGGCCTGTTTGTGGTTTCCCAGCATTCTGTGGTTCCCTAAGGATGTCTGCCTATGGGAGCCAGGTATGCTAATATCATTGCCTCTCACAATGTCTTCTAGAACACTGAAGTGTACACTATCCTGAGTGCAGCTCTCCATGACCCACGGTACTTTGAACAACCAGATGCCTTCAATCCTGACCACTTCCTGGATGCCAATGGGGCTCTGAAGAAAAATGAAGCTTTTATGCCTTTCTCTATAGGTGAGAGGGACCTGTGCTTCCTTTCCCAGACACTAGAGGGCAGGCTCACCCTCCAAGATACACCACTGGGTTCATGATTACTTACTGCTATTCTGGCTGCCAAATTTGCCTGAACCATCACTTTCAACCTGGTTCCTGCCCCTGAGGGACTATTGACTTAAGGAGCATTCTACTGAGGAGGATTTTGGAGAACTATTTAAAAGCCTTTAAACTCGAGCAATTAATTTTCTTTCCAATTTCATTTTTAGGGGAAAATCTTTTTAAACGAGTGAATATATTTGTCTTTATGTGTGACTAAATGCCTAACAGAAGAGTGTGAAGGATGTTCACAGAGAACAAAATGGATTAAATGCACAAGGTCTTTCCTGCCCCAGCCAACAATAAACAACAGATTAATTAATAGAGATGATGGGAGCACAGATATTCCCAGTTCAGGATGTCCAAGATAATTTTAAAGCCAATGTAGTAATTTCCACATAAGTCCTCAAAAGAGCAGAAGACAGTTTCCCCACCATAGAAATTGCAGTGATGAAAATCCGTCAATTCTTTCTGCATCAAAGCCATCCAGAGTGTTCCTCTTCCTGTTAGACTTCTGCTATTGTTCTTTTTCCTCTTTTATTAAGAATAGATTCTTTCCTCATATAATATATACTGATTACAGTTTTCCCTTCCCTCTACTCCTCAGAGTCTCCCCTGGATCCACTCCTTTCTGTCT